GGGGCCCCCAGGGGGGGCCCCCGGAGGGGGAGCCGGAGGCGGGGGGGGGGGCCCCCAGCGGCGCAGGCCGCGCTGCAGCGGAGGAAGGCAGCGGGGGGGCCCCCTGGGGGGCCCCCTGGGGGCCCCCGGGGCCCCTGGCGCTGCCGCTTTCTAGCACAGATGCAGCTTTTGCGCATGCATATTCTTCTCCTTATTTGGAATTAAAAAAAGCGGGATTTGAAGAAGATTGGGCCCTTTTAATAGGGGCCCTGCTGCATCCAAACCCTGCAATAAGGCCCACGGTGAGGCACGTTATTGCTGCTTTCCCGAGCCTCTTTGCTGCTGCAGCGCAGCAGCCGGCAGCAGCAGCAGCAGCTGCTGCTGCTGCAGAGCCCGCAGCAGCAGCAGCTGCTGCTGCAGCAGGGCCTGCAGCAGAGCCTGCAGCGGAGTCCGCAGCAGAGCCTGCAGAGGCGCCCGCAACGGCGCCCGCAGCAGCAGCAGCAGCAACAACAGCAGCAGCAGCAACAACAGCAGCAGCAGCAGCAGCAACAGCAGCAACGGCAGCAGGATGCCGCCGGAGGGGACCTCTACTCAGGGCCCCTCTTGCCACCATTAGTGAAGATGGATCCAGTGGCGGATAAACTAAAGAACAATGTGGCAGCAGGGGCCCCCAAACCCTCCCTTGGGGGCCCCCAGGGGCCCCCAGGGGCCCCCAGGGGCCCCCAGGGGCCCCCAGGGGGCCCCAGGGGGGCCCCTAATGGCGAAAGGTGGGGGCCCCTCAGAGGAATTTGAAAGCCTCAGGTGCAGACCCCAAGGGGCCCCCAAGGGGCCCCGAAGAAGCTTCAGAGGGGCCCCCGAAAGTCCCCCAAGGGGCCCCCGAGATTCTTCCGAGGGCCCTTAAGGGGCCCCCAAGGGGCCCCCAAAAGGGCCCTCAATCAAATCAGCTGCCAATGCTGAATTTGCTGCTGCAGGTTCAGGGGCTCCGAGAGCCTCTCTAAACCCTAAACCCTAAACCCTAAACCACGAAGAGGCTTCAGCTGGAGCCAACGCACTCGGGGGCCTCCAACTGTGGGATGTGGGGGCCCCCCTGGGGCCCCCAAAACCCCATCCCAGGGGCCCCCTGGTGAAGTTGTTATATGTGCCGGGAGGCCTGGGGCCCCTGCAGCGCCGGTGGGGGCCCTTTGGGGGCCCCCCGCAGCGCAGCGGGGGCCCCTTGGGGGGCCCCTAGCACCGCAGTGGGGGGCCCCAAGTACCCCACAGTGCAGCGGGGCCCCCAGAGACCCCTCTCTTGCCCTTGGGGCCCCCAATTCGAGGTAATATGAGGCATGAGGATCGTCTGGGAAGACGGGCAGTGGGGGGCCCCAAGGCCCTCCCTTTTTTTCGCTTTTTGGGGGCCCCCGGGGGCCCCGAGGGGCCCCTCTCAGTCTTCGGGGGGCCCCCAGGGGCCCCTCCCAGCACCTCTGGGGGGCCCCCGGGCCCTTTTTTCTCTCTTTAAGGGGCCCCAGGAACCCTTGTGATGCAGTACTTCACAAGCAGCCGCAGTAAGGCCCTATATAAGGGGGTTTGGCCTCGAAGGGGGCCCCCCCAGCCCACGCGTTTGTACCTAGGAGACGGGGGCCCCTGGGGGCCCGTGGGGCCCCCGGGGGCCCCTGGGGCCCCCGGGGGCCCCTGGGAAGCCGGGGGGCCCCCAGGGGCCCCCTTAGCTGGAGAATTCAAAAGAGCATGGGGGCCCCAAGGAGAGGGGGCCCCCTAAGGAAGACAAATTTCTCATTAAACCCCTCAAAACGGCTGGCGCTCCTTTTGCCTCCTGGGGGCCCCCAGGGGGCCCCAGCCAGCGGCTTCCAGGAGCCCCCAGCCTGCAGGCCTTTGGGGGCCCCTCAAAAGGGCCCAAAATGGGGCCCCCAGGGGGCCCCAGCTGGTTTCTTTAGGGGGCCCCTGCTGGGGGCCCCCTAAAACATTTGCAGGAGCTGGTGAACCAGCAAGTTAAGTGGCAGTCCCGCAGCAACTGGGCCCCTGGGGGGCCCCCCGAGTGCTGCAAGGGCTTTTCTTTTGCTGCCTGGGGGCCCCCCAGGGCCTCTTTTGGGGTAGGGGGCCCCCTTGGGGGGCCCCTGCCGGCCGTGGGGCCCCAGATTTTTATGTGGGGGGCCCCCAAAGCCCTGTGCTGTGGGATCGTCTCCTTTCGTCTCCAGGGACTCCAGGGGCCCCCATAACAACTACATCTGCTGGTAGGGCCCCCTCTAGGGGCCCCCTCAGTGAGGGGCCCCCTTAGGGGGCCCCCTTAAGGGGCCCCCTTCAATGAGGGGCCCCTTTTGCAGGCCCTCTGCACTTTGGGGGCGCCTCACTGGGGCCCCCAACCTGGGGGCCCCTCTTGCGGGGGGCCCCAGCGGGGGGCCCCCTCAAGAGGCCCTTGATACGGAGGCCCCCCCTTGCAGGGCCCCCAACAAGGGGGCCCCCCTTGGGGCCCCTTGGGGGCCCCTCGGGGGCCCCTACTAGCAGGGGCCCCCCGGAAAAGCAGAGCCGCCTGGGTTTTGTCTCCGCAGCTTTATAAACCCTTTTGGGCCTCCAGCCTTAGTTGGGTGGCTTGAAGCGTCCTCGTAAACCCTAAACCCTAGCTGGAAACCCTAAACCCTAGCTGGAAGCCCTAAACCCTCGCGGTAAACCCTAGGCCCTCGCTGTAAGCCCTAAACCCTAGCTGTAAACCCTAAACCCTTGCTGTGAACCCTACACGCTAGCTGTAGACTCAAAACCCTAGCTGCAAGTAAACCCTAAACCCTAGCTTCAGACCCCAAACCCTAGCCTCAAACCCTAAACCCTAAACCCTAAACCCTAGCCTCAAACCCTAAACCCTAGCCTTGAAAGGGGACAAAAAGAGCAGAAAGGAGACAAAGGAGACAGAAGAACCCAAGGGACAAGAAAGCGGCAAAAGAAATAAAAGGAGACAAAAAAGTAAAAAGTAAAAGAAATAAAAAGGAGACAAAAAGAGACAAAAGAAGCAAAACAAAAGAAAGCAAAAGGGCCAAAAAGACTCCAAAAAAGCGGAAAAAAACCCCAAAGAAGCCGAAGAAACAAAAGGAGACAAAAGAAGCAAAAGAGAAGAAAAAGGAGACAAAAAAGAGACAAAAAGAGACAAAAAGAGACAAAAGAATTAAAAAAAATAAAAAAAGAATTAGTTTTGAGTTTGAATGTCGTGGCGGAGCTGCGCGAGACGGCCCAGCAGGTCCTGGGCCGTTTGCTGCAGCAGCAGCAAATTGCTGCTGCGGCTTTTTGGCAAATGTTGGAAAAAAAAAGGGACTTTTGCTTCGAGAAGTTGTTGAAAAAAAGGAGACTGAGTCTCCAAATTATGGAGCAGCAGCTGGGGGTCGAGGGCCCCCCGTGCTGCTGCTGCAGCACGTGCTGCTGCCAGCAGCAGCCGCTGCCGCTGCTGCAGCAGCAGCCGGAAGCCGGCGCACTCGGCAGCAAACTGCTGCGCAAAGTCGCCGAGCTGCTGCAGCAGCTGCTGCTGCTGCTGCGCCAGCCGCGCCTTCAGCCCCGCTGCAGTCAGCTGCAGCAGCTGCTGCTGCTGCTGCAGCAGCAGCCCCCACGCCCCCCGCTGCTGCTGCAGGGCCCCCCGCAGCTCCTCCAACTCCCCAACTAGGGCCCCCACCAGGGGCCCCCACTGCCCCTCCACTTTCCAAAGGGCCTCCTGCCAAGCTGTCTCCGCGGAGACGCAAAAGTGTCTCCGATGGGGGCCCCCCACCACGCACTCTGCGCACACGCAGGGGCCCCCGCAGCAGCAGCAAAAGTAGCAAGCGGGCAGCTCGGGGTGGCTCTCGCAGGGTACTGAGGAGACGCAGCAGACCCGGGGGGGGGCCCCCAAGGGTACTGCCGAGTAAGCCACTTCTTCCGGACCCGGGGGCCCCTCGGGGGCCCCCGGGGGGCCCCCGGGGGGGCCCCCGGGGGGGCCCCCGGGGGGGCCCCCGGGGGGGCCCCCACGGGGGCCCCCAGGGGGGCCCCCAGGGGGGCACTCAGGGGGGCCCCCAGGGGGGCCCCCAGGGGGGCCCCCAGGAAGGAGACAGGCAAATGTGTCTCCGTCTTGAATAGTCTTGTAGTGGCTTAGGGTCTCCAATTTGCAGCGAGCAGCAGCAGAAAAGGGGGGGGGGGG